GTGTAATGACCAGGCAGTAGCCCCAGGCGATGGTTCTCTGACGTCTGCCCACAGGCTTGCCGGCAGGATGGCATGGCGCTCGCTGGTGCTGCTCCCCTTCCTCTTGACAGCAGGTGAGGACTTTGCTCGGCAATTGTCATGGGTGGGTGGGAGGCGTTGGAGGTCCTCAACACTTGTTCCAAATTCCCTGAGGGCAGCTGGGACCCCCAAAACAGCTGCCCACCCTGTTGGCACCTTGAAGTCCCAACAGCAACCTGGCTGCTCCAGGGCACAGCAGAGCGGGCATGGGGCTGGGCAGCGGGGATAGCATCCAGCACGGGTGCTGCAGCTGGAGGTCAAGCATGGTCTGGAGGTGGGAGGTGTGGGATGAGCATGACGAAGGTGAGGAGTAGTGGGTTCTCCTGCTCCCCCCAGAGACCCAAACTGTGGCCGGGAGCTGGGGCTGGAGGTGGGTAGGTGCTGCTGGGCTCAGGGGTGCAAGGTACAGGCAGAGCCCATCACAGGGGTGGTGCTCAGCACATCTCCTCCTTGTAGTTTCAGGCAACACAGCCCCATTGTTCAACATGACTGTTGTCTACGTGCCTGAGGACTTGGAGTTGGGTGAGTGAGGCAGCCTCGGGAAGGCCCTGGGTTGCAGGAGGAGGAGCGGGGGGGCCCAGGCAAGGGCTGACACTGCCCATGTCCTCAGGCCAGCAAGCTTTCCAGCTGAAGGCTACTGACTTAGACGGGGACAAGCTCACCTACAGCATCAGCGAGACCTTCTACTTCTTTGTCCAAACTGACACAGGCAATGTGACACTGAGGAACTCCCTGGACCGTGAGGTGAGGGCAGAGACTGGGGCAGATGTCCCTGCCTGAGCTGGGGGGTCTGCGGTGACACAGACGGAGGGCAGAGCCATGAGTCCTGGGGGAGAGCTGCTCACAGCAGTACTGTGGGGTCGCTCCTTGGCCCCAAAGCCTGTCTCCGCATGGGAGAGCTGTCTGGGAGGAGCATCCCACCCAGGGGTGGTGGGTGGGAGGCTGTTGGGGCTCAGCCATCCAAGGATCGCGCTCTCCCTGGCCCTGACCAAGTCCTGCCTTGTGTCCCCCCAGACCATGCCCAGGCTCACCATGATCGTCAAGGTGTTTGATGGGGTAAACGAACCGGTAAGTGCTGGGGCATGGGCTGGGTGGCTGCAGTGGGTGATGGGGAGGGAAGCAAGGTCTCAGTGGGGCTGTGGATGAGGCTCGGTGGGGAAGGGGGCTGGAGGTAGGCTTTGCCCAGGGGTGGGTGACGCTGGCTGGCTGCGGAGCTGGGTGCGTGCATGGTGCCAGAGATACACCCAGCTCTGCTGAGCACCATCTCCCGCACTCACACTGCGCCCTCCCTGACACCTGGTAGGTTTCCAGAAAGCTCACAGTCATCGTGGAGGACCGTAACGACAATGCCCCGGTCTTCCAGCACCTACCATATCAAGCCTCCATCCCCGAGGTACCTCCCCAGGACATCTTGGCCCCGCGGGCAGCAGGGAAGGGGTGCTGGGTGGCTCCTGTGGCATGGGTGTGCCAGCAGCGGGACAACGGTGCACCATGAACATGGTTACCCCATGCCGGGGCGTGCGGTGACGGTGTGCCTGGGCGTGGGGTGATGGTGCAGCCGGCACAGCTGACCTGGGAGCTCTCTGTGCCGGGGCAGTTCCTGACGGTCACCTCTGTGCCAGTCATTGCTGGTGCATGGCTGGGACTCTGCCCTTGCGATGAGTGTCTGATCAGGGAGTGCCTGAGCTGCCGCTCGGCTCCGACCTGGGTGAGGTTGGATCAGGGTTCAGACAGGGTGTGGGGCTGATCCCGACCCCTCTCGGGCAGCCCCAGGGCTGGGGTGCAGCTCCCAGGGACGCCAGGGAGGGGGGGGTCATCTGGCCTCCGCTCGGCATCAGCAAGGGCAGCAGCTCATCCCTGTGTGGCCCACGGCACTGGTCAGCCCCTGGAGCCCTGAAGGGCCAGAGCATCTCAGAGCAACGCTGGCAGGGGCTGGGCTCAGCACCAACCCCTGCTCTTCCGGGCAATGCCACCAACACCCCTCTGTGTGTCCAGAACATGACACTCAACAGCGTCATCTTCACCGTGTTTGCAAATGACAGCGACACTGGGAACGCCTCGAAAGTCAGCTACAGCATCGAGGAGGTGAGCGCAGGGATGAGCCCCAACTTCCCAGGCATTGCCCTGGATGGGGGTTCAGTGTGAGGTGGGGAGGTGGGGGCGGGAGGATGCTGGAGGTCCCAGGACCTCCCCATCAAGTGCTCTATACCAATGGGAAGATGATGTGGCTCGATCACATGAGCCAGGGTAGACCCTGACATCTCCCCTGGCTGAGCCTGCCCGCTCCCTGGCACCACAGAGGGGTCCATGCCTGCTGGAGAGCAGCAGCACATCGCAGAGTCAGGCATACCATACCCGAAACCCGTCCCTGAGCCACCTCTGTGGGGCAGAGGTGCTGGGGTACATGGCAGGAGGCAGTCCCATGGCTCTGGGGGAGCAGGGGTATGTGTTGGGTCAAGAGGGCTGGCTCTGCGCCCGCTGGGCAATGGGTGCAAAGCACTGAACTGTTGCAAGTTGAGGGTGAGCTAGGTGGTAGGGAGTCCCCACAGCCCGTGGACCAAGCCTGGCATAAGAATCGGGTTGAGCACCCATCTCTTCTGGGGCACCTCTGCTCCCTGCCTTGGTGGCACAGGGTAATGTCCCTTGCCCAGGTGGTCCCAGACAGCATGAAGAATCGCTGGCTCTTCTACATCCTGCCCAATGGGAACGTGATGCTCAACGGCTCGCTGGACTACGCCATGAACACTTTCTACCAGCTCAAGATCCTTGCCAAGGTGGGGTCCAGCTGGGCCAGGGGTGCGGGGCTGCCAGGTAAGGGTGCTGTGGGACTAACAGGTGGTCTGCTCCCCAGGACGGCGGGGGGATGCTGCACAACATGTTGGTCTTCCAGCAGAGCTCAACCTACCTATCACTGACCATTCTCGACTTGCCCAACCAGGACCCACGGTTCCTCAATGAGCCCTACTCCGGCTCTGTGCCCGAGAACTGTGCCCCAGTAAGGAACCTGCCTGCCCCAGTGGCATGTCCCTACCCCTGGCCCTCCCTGGGAGCTCTGATGCCACGGGGTGTCTGGGCCACGGGGCATGAGGGTGGCTGGAGGCATCATGGGTCTTGCACTGATGGCCATGTCCCCACAGGGCACCACTGTGCTCACCGTCAGAGCCATGGACAGAGACACGGGGGTGAATGATGAAATCTCCTACAGCATCACCAGTGAGTGAGGGAGAAGGGGGGGTGAGCAGGCAGCAAGGGGCACCACGGGGACTGGTTCTGCGCTCTTGGGTGCTGCCAGTGCGAGAGAGGGCCAGGCCTGCATTTCCCAGTGGCTGCAGCTGGTTCCTGCTGTCTCCTTGCCCTAGATGCCAGCGTCCCCTTTGCTATCAACGCTATGACGGGCACCATCACTGTAAGTGGGCCTCTGGACCGTGAGCAGCTGCCAAGCGAGGAGGTGCTGCTGGAAGTCATTGTGAGTAGGAGGCAGCAAGGGGAACCCCATCCTCTTCCTCTCTCTGGGCCCCTCCGACCCACTCTCTCCTCCTGCTCAGGCACGTGAGAAGAACCTGGACATCCATGGCAAGGTGGCCCAGGCTAGCACCCTGGTGACAGTCATAGTGACTGATGTCAATGACAACAAGCCCCAGTTCTACCACTGCTCCCTTCCCAGCTGCAACTTCTCCACCAGTGCCCAGAACAACTTCGGTGGCAACATCATAGAGCATTCCTCCTCCAGACTGCCTGTGTCCGACCTCAGCATTGTCGCACATGACCCGGACAAGGTGGGATCTTGTCCAGGGAGCTGGGCTGGAGTGCAGGTGCCCATCCTGGCTGCACCATCCACCCTCACTCCTTCGTGTCTCTCCCTGGCAGGGCACCAACAGCAGCTATGAGCTGTATCTGCAGGGTCCGAATGCCAACGCCTTCACTGTCTCCCCACCAAAGATCGTAGGCACAGGGGAGGTTCAGCTCCTGGTGCTAGAGCCATCTGCTGTGGACTACGAGATAAGCCATGTCATGGAGGTGCAGGTTCGCCGTGGGGACAGTCCCTGCTCCCTGCCTATGGCAGGGCACAGGGGTGACACAGGTCTCCTTCTGCAGGGTTCAAAAGCCAAAGCAGATTATGACTCTGCCCTGGCAGCTTGTTTAGTGCAGGGGAGCTGGGTTGGAGTGTGACAGGTCTCTTTCTCATATTGGGGGACCTATGTGAGACGCTGTCCCTTCTCTGTCCTGCAGATAATTGCTAACGACACAGGGAAACCCACGGACTGCTGCTCCACAGCCACTGTAACCATCAACCTCATCGACAGCAACGACCACATCCCTGAGTTCCCCCAGAGCACCTACAACCTGAGCGTGATGGAGAACAGCCCTGCTGGCACCATCATCACCCCAAACATCACGGTCAGGCACTGGGCAGGGAGCGGGCACAGCTTATGTCCCCCAAGCAGGGCACTGAGCACGCCTGGCACTGCTGGTGCAGCTTGTGCTGAAAGCACTGGTCTCTCTGTGTACATGAGGAGGAGACAGTGCCAGCAGGCACACAGGTGTGAGACCCTGTGCTCATCAGGGCCACATTTTTGGGGTGCTCACTGCCAGCAGCTGATGCCCCAGACTCATCACTGCTCTGGGAGCTGAGACAGATTGACTGAACGCTTCTTTCTCTCTGTTTTAGGCCTATGATCCAGACAGCGGTGTCCTGGGGGAGATCACCTACCAGCTGCTCCCGGAGACCATGTATGTAGGAATACGGCCAGCCATGACTGGGGCATCGTCCCGGCGAGGGGGCTCCAGGCCTGAGCCCTGGTGACATCTCTGTGTGTGCCATAGCCGTCAAATCTTCACTGTGAATGCCATGACTGGGGCAGTGCTTGTGCAGAATGGGAGCTTTCTGGACCGGGAGACTCGTTCCATCTATTACGCCAACCTCCAGGCCAAGGATGGAGGCAACCTGGCGGGCACCACTGTGCTGGAGATCACTGTGCTGGATGAAAACGACATGGCACCTATCATCACTGGCTCCTACTACATCTCAGTGAAAGAGGGACAGAATGTCACAACACAGATCCAGGTTTGCACCAATGGAGGTGGAGGGGTCGACAAAGGACTGTTGGAGAGGAGCAGGGATTGTCCCGAAGGTGCTGGACAGCCCCATTCCAATCCCTGACCTTTTCAGGCCATTGACAACGATGAGCCTGGCAGTCTAAACAGCAAGTTGGGCTTCAGGATCTTACCAGGACCGTTCAGCAAAAACTTCACTATCAACGAGGCCACAGGTGAGATGCACAGCAAGGAGCCACTGGACCGCGAAGCCTTGGAAGATGAGCGGGGGCAGATGGTGGTGATGGTGGAGGTGTACGACCATGGCGTGCCACAGCTCAGCACCTCGGTGAACGTCACCATCACTGTGGGGGTGAGCCCTGGGTGCAAGTAGGGGCGTGCTGGGGCAGACAGGGGCTTGGACCTGGGATGCAAGGGCACAGAGGGGACATGGCATCCCTGGCCGTGGCAGGGGCACTGTGCCCTCAGGCTTTTTGTGGGAGCAGAGGGAATAGTTGACGCAGGGATGCAGAAGAGGGCTTGTGTGCCTCCTGCCTGAGGGACAGCAGGTGTCCACACTCCTGTCCCCAGCCTGCTGTGGGGGACCCTGTTTCCTGAAGCAGGTACAACCATGGACTTTATCTCCTGCAGGACGTAAATGACAACGTGCCCATGTTCCTTAACGAGTCCTATGAGTTCTCAGTCTTTGAAGACTCTCCAGGTAGACACTGCGTGGCCAGGCTGGCGGGTCGGTGGCCAGTCTGTGCCCACTGGCCACTGGGTGTCTGTCTCCACCTGCAGGGTCCCACGTGGGTGAGGTGGAGGCCACAGATGCTGACCGGACAGAGATCAATTCCCGCATTTCCTTCCTACTTCAGAGGGGCAGTGGCTCCAGCAACTTCTTGATCCGCTCATCCCCACTGGGGCCAGGGTACTATGGTGGGCTGCTGTCTGTGGACCCCGACATGTCCCTGGACTACGACACCCTGCAGCAGAAGTTCTTCTCCTTGGTGGTGTTGGCACAGAACACGGCTGCAGATGACATGGGGGACACTGCTAATGTCTCGGTGGTAGTTCACGTCCTAGATGTTAATGACGAGCCCCCCACCATCCTGCCTGTCTCACCAGAGAACCCGCATGTGAAGGAGAATGGCACGCAGCAGGGTCTGGTCATCACACTGGTCGCCTCCGACCCAGACACCAACCACTCGCTGGTCTTCGAGGAGCTGGCGGTTGCCTGCTTCAAGGGGACGATCAGCGCTGGGGAGGTGTGCTGGGACTGGTTTGTGCTGGCACCCAACGGCTCGGTGATGGTGAACAGCTCGGACATTGACTACGAGGTGTGCGACGTGGTGGAGCTTACACTGCGGGCTGAAGACCTGTACACCGAGAAGGGCAATCGCTACAGCCAGAACAGTATGATACCCACTCCCCGCTCCTTCTACTGCCACTGGGAACAGAGGGAGGTGGGACCCACCTTTCCCACCTCCCAGGAGGAGCTGTGGGGAGCAGGGTGGGAGCTGGGAAGTTTGGTGATGGAGGGAGGGTGTCCCCAGCTCTTTTGGTCCCTGCTACAGGAATCTGAGCCTGCTGGGAGGATGGGAGTCCCAGGGGAAGCAGAGGAGGGTTCTGCAGGGCTGCCCTGTTGGTAAACGGAGGTCTGCTTTTTGGGGCATTTGCAGAAACCCTGAGGATCCTCATCACCGATGTGAACGACAACACACCGGTCTTCCTGCCCATCTCGGAGACCTTTGGTGAGCAGCCGGGCCTGATGCGTCCTGTGGGCTCCTCTGCACACACACGCTCTGCCATGCTCCCTGGCAGTGAGGACCTTCTCCCAGCCACAGCAGGGCTGTGAGAGGTGCAGGGACCAGGCTGGGGTTACTAAATGCTTTCCATGAAGGCTGTGGGGCTGAGGGCAGTGGGGGGGAAAGCTTGGAGCTCTGCTGAGCCCTGGGGCTGTGCGGGCCCATTGGGGTCTGCAGCAAGCCTGGCTGCACACCAGCATGACCATGCTGTCTGTCTGCCTGTCCCCGGCAGTGGTTGTCCCCGAAATCTCTCCTGTGGACCTGCAAGTGGCTACTGTGAAGGTGAGGAGCTGTGTGCATGCGTCTGTCAGTCTGCAGAGCTGGGTCACTTGTCCCTGCTGTGGGCAAGCAGTGGCCGTTCCCATCTGAGCTCCTGCCATGCTTTGTCCCTGCAGGCCACGGACGCCGACTCAGGGTTGGAGGGAACCATTGTCTTCTCCATTGTCCGTGTGGTGCTCGTGGATGACAAAGGGCTCAGCCAGCCCTTCCCGAACCTCTTCAAAGTGGAGACAACTCCAGTGGAGAACGGCTACGTTGGGAGCATCCAGTGAGGCCGTGGGTCTGGGCCAGGGTGGGGAGAACATGGTTCAGCTCCTGCCTGCTGCAAGGCAGAGGTGCAGGCATGGCCAGAACAGGCTGGCAAGGGGTCAAAGCCATCCTGGGGTCCTGCCCTGGGCATGGTGGTAGGCTGGAGCTTGGAGGGATGGCAGTGCTCTCCCAGGGATGTCCCATGGGATCACTGTTGTCCCCATCCTCGCAGGGTGGCCAGCAACCTCGATAGCTCACTGAAGGGGGAGTACCAGGTGACAGTGGAGGCTCGGGACAGCAAGCCACCAGTGCACACAGCACAGACTGTGCTGAACGTGAGTGTCATGCTCGTCCCCCCCTGTCGGGCATGCCCCCCACCCTGCCCAGCCCCGCTCAGCCCTGCTCTCCCTGTGCAGATCTTCGCGGTGGATCAGAGCTACCGTGTGCGCCTCCAGTTCGTGACAACAGTGGACAAAGTCCAGGCTAACTCTGAAAATATCAAAGTGTAAGTGGTGCAGGACTGCGCTGGGGAGGTGCATGGCTCTGCAGCAGGGGACATGAGCATGCCGGCCAGGACCCACTGACCATGTCTCCCAGCTTCACAGACCATGAAGGGGACCAAGGCAGGCAGGTCCCCCCCGCAGCCGGTGGCCCAGCCACTCCCCGTGCCCACATGCAGAGTGGCAGCACGCACAGCCCAGCCTCCCTTCATCCCTCATGTTCCTAGGGCCCTGACCACCGCAACCAAGGCAGGCGTCTACGTGGCAGCCATCAGGACCGTGGAGGACACCCGTGCCTCCCAGTGAGTGAGGCCATGCAGGTGGTGGGGAAGGGGACATGGCGGTGGGATCGGAAGGGCGAACCAGGGGCACTGTGCCCTGCACCCCGCTCACCCCATCTCTTTGATCCCGCAGGGTGGAAGCCAAGTCGGTGATGGAGGCATACTTCGTCTATAGCAATGGCACTGCCCTGGACGTCAACCAGCTGAGTGTGTGCGTACCGGGGTGGGGGCCATGGACGGGCACCACCATGTACCCCCACCGGCCCTGCCGCTCACACCTCCGCTTTCCTTGGCAGGCTCATACAGTCTGACCCGCTGATCCTGGCTGAACTGGTGCAAATGGGCCTGGCCGTCATCGTGAGTGGGGCTGGGCAAGGGCCACATGGAGAGGGCACCAGCCCCACATGTGGCCAGGTGGGGGGTGTCCAATAGCCAGGGCTGTGCCCTCACCCTTGCTCTGCACCAGGGCCCTGGGGAAGTGGTGAAACCCACCAGGGAGACAGAGCTGATCGGCATCATCGCAGGGTTGGCGGCGTTCCTGGTCATCTTCATCCTCATCATAACCCTGGTCTTGGTTCTCACCACCAGGAGGTACTGCACTGCCCACACTCCCTCCTGCCTTCCCCAACCACCGTCAGTCATCCTCATCAGCACCCCCAGACCCATTCCTCCCTTCCATCCTGCTCCGTCCCACCCCATGCCACAGCCCGGCTCCCCCCTGCTCCTCTCACCCATCCCTTCCCTGGGCTTTGCAGCTACAAGAGGAAGCTGAGTGCAATGAAGGCTCTGAAAGTGGCCACGACATTCAGCCCTGCCATGGCGCAGCAGGGAGCTGGCATCCCCGGGACCAACCAGTACAATGCAGAGGGGTGAGTGGGGTCTCCCTGCAGCCGGAGGGGAGAGCCCAGGCTGTCCCCACACCCAGGGACAGCAGCGCTCGCTGTCACAACCCTCCTGCCTGGGGAACATGGCTGCCCCAGGCTGCCCCTGCAGCTCCACAGGACGGTGACTTACATGCCACCCATTCCTGGACAGGGCTAACCCCATGCTGAATCTCTCAATCGATCCCTCCCATGACCTGGGCTTCCATGAGGACACCATCTCTGTGGCCAGGTGAGCTCTGCGGGCAGGTCCTGAAGGCCACAGGGCCATCACCCTGCATCCTCACTCCGCCAGCGCCCGGGCACTCTTCTACCCTCTACCCTCTGCTCTCCACAGCACGAATTCCCTGGATGAAAACACAGTAAATGCACCCAGGGAACACAACCTCGAGGCCAAGGTGAGTGTGCAAAAAGCTGCTGGTACCCAGCAAGGAGTCCTGCCACCACATCCCGCATCTCAACCTCTCTGCTGTGGTCCCCGGGCTCCTGGACCCCTCACATCCCTTCCTCTCCATCCGGAGAGCCCCCAGCTCCTGGGAAGGACGGGAATGTCCCTGTCCTTCATCTGTCCCCATCTCCTCTGACCATATTCTCCTCCTGCAGAAAGGCAAAGCGCAGCTGATGGACCCCACTGATGAGGAGGTACTAGTGGCCGCCCTGGAGCTAAAGGAGCCCACCAAAACAGCATACATCAACACCACCTTCACCACCACCGACTTGTGAGCGGGTGTGCAGGGTGCAGAGGGGCCAGAGCGGGACTCAGGCAGCTGCTTTGGTGATGATATGTTCAGAGGCTGGCAATAAACCTGTCCCATGGGGGTCACGGTGTCCTGTGGACATCAGCCCATCTGTCCGGGGGGCTCAGCCAGCTTGGGGTTATCTCTCCCAGCACAAGGTGCTGGTTTCGGGCCAGGCTGGTGCCAGAGAGGAGATGAATGCCACCATGGGGCTTGGCCTGGCTTCTTGTCCCCAGGACCCTTCCTTAGCCTGCCCCACTGTCCCCCGTCCCCCCTCAGCCCCAGGGGAAGGACGTGCAGGCAGCCCTGCGCAAAGGTTTGTGCAAGGTTTTATTACCCAACATCCACGTTGACAGGTTGGTCCTCCCGCCCCCTCTCCCCCCCCCGCCCCCAAAAAAAGAAACAAAGAGGGGAAAAAAAAGAAGAAAGTAGGTGATGAAGCCGCAGCGCCGGTGTGCTGCAGCTCAGCAACGCAGGGCTGGATGTGGAGGACAACTCGGGGCAGGGAGGGGGAAGATGCCCCAGGGCTCCTGGTCATCCCCGCGTGGCCGTGGCACTGCTCCCGCAGCCCAAGGCACTCAGCAGAGCTGGCTCCTGGTGAGTGCCACGGCACAGAGCACTGGCCATGGCTGGCAGCTGGGGCTTCAGCGAGCCTTTCGCACATACACCACCCGCCCTGGGGCAAGAGACAGCCCCACAGGGCTAAAAGAAGCCCAGGGTATACAGTGGGGCTTTGGGGAGACAAGGTTTGCCCCTTAAAGAGGGGAAGCGGCAGCACTGGTGCCCCCGGCACTTCGAGCCCTCCTGCACCTCTGCCCAGAGGGGATGGTGCAGCTCCCCAAGCCCCCCCTCGTTTGCAACCTCCTGCCCATCAGGTGCTGCTGGGCATAGGCCTGGCCCCCCCCCGCTTGCTGCGGCACTGCGGGGCCGGTGCTCTGCACTGGGCCAGGCTGGAGGGGCCAGGGCCCGTGTCTCGGTGGGATGCCGCAGTGCTGCCAGTCGCGGGGATGCTCGCCCAGTCACGGGGATGCTCACATCCTGCACGCCGACTCTTCTCTCCCAATGCTCTCCAGCCCGGCGGGGCACAGGCAACGTAGGAAAAGTGTTTGAAAAGAGGGTCACAGCCCCACAGGCCACCGGGGTGGCTCCAGGCAGGACGCGCACAGCTGAAAGTGTCTCTTAAAAAGCTCCAAAAATGCAAACGTGGTTCAATAAAAGCCCCCCTCCCCCCCAGCCTTGTAAAACCCCAGCTGTAAAAAGTGGCAGCGCTTTGCAGCAGGCGCATCAATGGCTGCCGTCACAGGAGAGCAGCCAGTGGGGCTGGAGGGACCCGCACAGGGGCAAGTGCCCAAGTCCTCGGCACGTGGGGCCTCTCTGGCAGCAGGGTGGCTGGACGGGCCCAGCAGCAGGGCTAGTTTCATCCCCACCACCAGCCATAGCGAGGACGTGCCATGGGCTCTGATGGCCGCTCCCAGGCAGGAGGAGCTGGGGGCCACGGGGACAGACTCCCCAAGCGCCTCCAACCACGGTGACAGAGATGAGTGGCGCTCCACCACAAGTGTGGTTGGCCCCAGTCTCTCACATTTGAGATGAGTCCCAGTGCCCTGTGTGGCCATGTCCTCCCAGCTCCGGGGCACCCACAGCACGGCGGTGGGGCAGGGAGGACAGGGCTGGGACAGGCTGGGCAGAAAGCCCCTACCCTGGGCAGCCATGGGGACCCACGCATGCACGGCCATGGGCTGGTCGGAGCGTGGCTGAGCCCTGGGCCAGCAAAGCGTGGCACGGTGATGCACCAGCGTCTCTCCAGCACAGGGAGCGACGCTGCTGCCTGGGATACGAGTGAGGCCAGAGCTCGGGGGAGCCACCGGCAACCTGCCCATGCCCACCCTGAGCCATCTCCAGACCTTTGCCACGAGCAGGAGATGCTGGGGAGCACGTGCTTCCTCATGCTGAAAAAAGCCACCAAGCACAGAGACCAGCCTCATGTCCCACGGCACCTCCACGGGGCTAAGGCTGGTGGAGGGACCCCGGGCTGGTGGGGGGACCCCCAGCAAAGGAGATGCCTTGCCCCAGCATGCAGTGCTCCATCACCCTGGCCCCGGGAGCTCCGCACACTGGTAGCAGGCGTCTCAGGATGCCAGGGCAGGGACCCCTCCCCGCTTCCCCCAAGAAGCCCCGCGGCACCCCCATCCCACCGGCACAGGCAGCGGCTCACTCCATGGCGGGGCCAGCGCGGGAGCAGCACCGGGGCCGCCGGACATTTTGCAGCAGAGCCCGAAAGACGCTGGGCTGCCTCTTGGCCTCGCCTTTGCGGGGGGCTCCCTTGATGGAGCCGGCGCGGGTGCTCTGGGGGGTCATCACCACCTGCCGCCCGTGCTCCTCAATCTGCTTCTCCAGGTGCTTCTGGATGGCCATGCCCAGCACCTCCACCTCCATGGAGGCCCCATACACCTCCCACGTCATCCCCTTCTCGTCCCAGCTCACCTCCCGGATGGGCTCCGGAGCCTCCTCTGCCACTGTCCCCTTCACGTGCACCTCAGGGTACGAGGCCTGTGGGGACTTGGCCACCGGCGTCATAGGCCCGGTGGCCACTGAGCGGGTCTCCACGGGCATGGACACCTGCATCTCCGCATCCTTCTTGGAGGGCTCTAGGCGTGGAGGGGGAGCGGAGCCCAGCTCTCTCTTGGGGAAGGTGAAGGCAGCAGCCCCGCCTGGGGGGCTCATGGGGCTCAAGGCCACTGACACCAAGGACGCTCGGCTGTCCACTTGTGTCCCCATGTCCTGCGTCCCGGCATCCTGCGGTGGGGTCACCTCGAAGGAGTAGGACTCGCAGAGCAGCTTGGCTGTCCGGGGCTGCTGGCTGCTCCCGGCATCCACACCCCGGGCTGGGCTCCCCTCGGCTCTGCCCTGGCCCAGGGCAGCAGAGCTCAGCCCTGCCCCGCTTCGGCCCCCGCTCCCTGCAGTGCCGGTGCCGGCGGGGGCTGCCGTGCCCCCCCGGGGGGGGCTGGGGGGCTCG